CCCGCATTGACTGTAACTTTTTCTCTGCATGGCCAAAAAAATTGGTATTGCGCCGATTGATATGAATTTGTTAATTTAAGTTATGATGGCAAAATATTATATATTTTGTTAAATCTGTTACTATGCCTAATATTGAATATTATGTGATTAATCTTTAAAATACCAAATTTATTATCTGACATCTACATCTATCTGCTATTTAACAGTATATTTTGAATAATTCAAAGTTTTCTTTGTTTATCCTGACTTAATATATCCATGTGTGCATTCTAGTTATTTAAATAAGTTAATAAGCAGGAACAACATTTAATTCAAAAAGTGGATTCTTTTATTCATTTCTAACCAAAAATATATCAGATATTGTTATTTCTTTTGAAGTTGGAGGCTCTAATTTCTTTCTTCTTCATATATAATATTGATTCTCAAAGTTTAGTATGGTCATAAAACTGATTTTAAAAAAATTTCGAGGAAAATCACTTTTTTATTCTAATGGTTTTATAGTTTTTTACAAACACTATTTGCATCATATCTGTGTAGACCATGAATTTGACTTTGAACACAATCATACTTCTTGCCAGTTTTTAGAAGTTTATAGAACTCGAATTCGCAACTACGACTGTCTTGTTATAAATGCTGGCAATCCTTATAATAATAAAACGATGTTATAAATTTAAAGCTTGTTTTACTAATTCTTTTACTTTGGTAGTAAAGCTTCATTGTTTCTCTTGTACTAAAATTTAAATAACGTCAATATTAGTAATAGTGGTAGTATTAATAAAAATAAAGTTAATAATAGTAATAATTCTTATCCTTGTTTTTATTCATGTTATTATTCTTATTCTTATTCTTATGCTTTCTAATTTCTTGCCAAGAATAATCAAAGAACACGATATTAAATGCCGAACAAATGAAATAATTAGGATAAATGAAATGACATGCTTGAAATGTTATCGACAAATCAATCAAATATCGTATACATCTACAGATTTACATTAAGTTACCGTACTTTTTGTTTAAAATCAGTTTCTTGAGAGCATAGAGAATACCAGATGTTGCGATTTTAGAACTAGCAAATGCATCATTAAAAGATAATGCCCACTTTATATTAGATTCTATGCGTGTTTTCTTTACACATTTATATAGAAATCTATTTTAATTGTAAACCAATTTTTTTCGAATCTTTTAAGACTTCGAGAAAATGCAAACAAAAGAAAAAAGATGGAAATAAAAAAATAAGTTATAGTAAATTGCAAAAGAAAATTACTGCTGCGTTTCTTCAAGTTCCAAAAGTTATGAAGTCAGAAATAATTCTTACAAGCTCATTAATAATGTTAATTCATAGCTGTTTTCTTGTTATGTAAAATTCTGTGCAAACAATAGAAAATCTAATTTTCTACTTATAGTTTTTTTGATCAGTGAGTGAGAAACAAAAAAATAATTGTATACATCTCCAGATTTATATCAAATTACCGTTACATAATTTTATTTACGTTTAGATTAACTTGCAACTTTATCAATTTAATTTTTTGCGCATTGGAAAGCTATCCAGATAATTTTTTCATATTTCTAGTTGCTTCTCTGAACTTACCACTCTATTTTCGAAAATTTCTGGCTAAAATATAAAATTCACTTATTATTGCATGGAAGAAGTATGAGACAATGCATACACAGTCACTTCAGTAGATTTTTTAAACAGCAGTTTAATCTAGGTGTTTCTGAACGTTACTGAAAATTGAAATAAATTTTTGGTGTTGTTAGAGTATTTGCTGGCAAAGAAGTATTTGATGTCAGCAATTTTCAGCACCATAAACCTTTGTTCTCATAAATATTTGACTAAGATTATTGTTGTTGCCATTCTCACCTGGCAGTTATTGAGGCATTAAAGTGGAGATGTAAGTGCATGTAAGTACTGAGTTTTGCACAATTTGTCGAACCCTTAAAATATTACGACAGTACTTTTTAACCTTGTTATAACCCAGACTCGGTGGGTCGTTGAGTGCATCCTTGTCCATTTTTCTTAATAACCCTATTATTGCTATTTTGCTTCTAATCATGAGAAAAAAGAATTTAAATTGAAAAGATGAGAGAGGAAAATTTTCAATAGCAGAAGGAAGTTTACGGTGGAAAAAAGTAAGAAGAATACGATCTACCACCTATCATTACCTTATTTATCGGGTAAACGAGCACGATTTTTGGAGCAAAAAGAAAAAGTATAGCAATAAATATCAATGGGCCGTATTTGGTTGACATTTAACTCCCCGAAAATTGCCTCAGTAATTTCGTCTCATTGCCCCAATTTTATACCATACTATAACTTAACTTACATCCAGCAACTGAAGTCAGCAGAGTTTGTGTGAAGAATTTCGGAGATTATTATTAGTTTGTTTCTATACTGTTTTTTGGTTTTTTTGCTATCTTCATCAGGAAGCAGTTGTTATCTGTATTAACAACATTAACGGTTCCTGCATTTGTAAAACATTAGTTAGAATAACGTTAAAGAACACGAAACGAATAACTTTATCCCGCAAAAGCGGGAATTTGGACTGCAAAAAAGTTTTTAGAATGTTTACTGTTGCTAGTCATTCATTCCTTTAGTGTGCGTATTTGAATTGAATGCCTTTATTTTACTGTATTTGCTCTGCATCACCGAGCCATTGATTGGTGTTGCAAAACTTGATTGAGTGAAAAATTTTTCAAAGTTTCACGAGAGTTAGTCAGTCACCTGAAAACGAGAAGCGAAGAATTCAAGAACAACAAGAACTTCAGTAGAAATTAGAGAAAGACGCAAAAAAATAGGGTAAAAAAGAAATGGTAAAATTGTTGATGGCCAAAGTTCACGTGGCTCATATTTGTTAATTGAAAAGGGAGAATATTGTCGTGTTTTGCATAACAGCACAAGACACGATAAATCCTTTCTAAAAATGATTCCTTATCACTGCTTAACAGTAACCATTATTTGCTTACTGGATATCATTGCGGCTCAACACTACAATTGGCTGTGAGTTCTTATCTTTTCTTCTTTTGTGTAACATCGTTAAAACTCTTACGGATAAGAAGTGAAAGGAAACAAACCTTTCACAATTATTTTACTCAACAGAGTCTACTTACAAACGTACAGTAAGGATAATACTTGCTATACCTTTGATAGTCTTC